CTCTATATATTATTAAAGACGAGACGTTATACTATATATTGCCTTAGTAAAATATTCAATATTTATTGCTTTATTAAATTTTAAAAACTGTGATCAGAACTTTTGGTATACCCTAAGTAAGGCTCATTGAAACATATTGATCAAAATTTATTCAAATAGCATTGAAAGACTATATTGACGATATAATAAGTGAAAGTATTATTAATTCTAAGAAGAAACACGAAATCATTTATATTTGAAACATGGTATAATATTTAAAAAAAAGAAAATTCAATTTTAAAATATTGAAGATTTGGAACAATTTATTGATAACTATTGAAACAAATTTGTTTAAAAACAAATAAAAAATAATAATAAGAACGATTAATTATAAGAAGAAAAATCGTTTTTTTTCTTTCCTAGATTGATTTATTTTCACTTCATGACACAAAAATTTGTTTTGAAAACATAAACAATAAATCTTCGCAAGTCACTCCAATACTTTGAATAGATGAACTGGATTGCAAGTGTCAGAGGAACTGTTCGGTTTTTTATTAATTGTCTAAAACTATAGTTTGTAAAAAATATGCTGGTAAATAATTCCCAAAAAATCCGAATAAACGGTATGATTTCTTCGATTTAGTTAATCCGGATAAAACCTTAGTCGCAGTGAGCAGTTTTTTTTACAGATGAAACTTAAGACAGATGACATTGTATTGTCACTTGTGGTTTCATTTCATTTTTTAATCAAGAGATATTCTTAATTTCAAGATATATGAGATTGTAAATGAATTTTGAAACAACGATAAGTTATATTAAAATCAATAATCGACAATGAAAATGAAACTAATTAGAACTATTATTTTTGTTTTCTATATTCCTCTCATTTTTTAATTAACAGTTCTAAGAGTTAATCTGATAAATGGATAAAATTATTTTAATATTAATGTTTTTTTCATTCAAATTATACAACAAGTAAATAATAAAAGAAATTTTCTCTAGAAAAGCAAGAATGAATTGGTTTAATAAATATTCTTACAAGATACATTAACTTAATTTCTCATCAAATAGTTCATTTTACTTTTAACTAAAAAAGAACAAATCAATGTAAAAGAATCTTATGGGACAAACTGAAGAATGAAAAAACTTCTCTTATTTTTACATGTCAATGCCATAAGATGTAAAAAAAAATAAAATGAACGAAATAGAAAGGTAAATTTCAGTTATTACTATGATGCTTTCATATTTTGCCATCGACATCCCACATTTGTGTTTCTCTATTCAAAGAAGACATTGCAAAATCATACGAAACTTATGTCACAACATCAACATAGTTGTAATACAATAATAACAGCTTATATTAATGTCTCACAGAATTACTCCTTCTTTTCTTACATTACCGATGGAACTTGTTTGTCGAATTTTGGATAATTTGGATATATGAACTATTCTATCTCAATGGGCAATGTTGGATACATATCATCAATATCAAGTAACTTTTTCATTACCTTAATCATTCATTTTCATCAGTTTCAAAGTCTTCTCTATTATCATATTTCTCGAAATGTTTTTTTTTGCTGGTAGCATTATTTTCATTATGCAAAATGAAATAAACAATAACTATTCTTTCCATTCTAGAATATTTATAATAATTCAAACAACTTTATATCATTTTATGAAAAACATTTATAAATGAGTCATTTCTCACAATATGTAGTAGAACATTTTTATTTTTCTTTAGCTGAAATTAGAATTAATTTTCGTTAATTCTCTCTATAGTCGTTTCGCATGCGATATATTTATTTGTCCTTTTCCCATTTTAATATAATCATGATTATCCTCAATAAGTATCATAGATAATTTTCGTTCATCATACTAGTTTATACACTGAATATCTTCTTCGATTAATCTCATTCCTAAATTGAATTTATGTAAAAACCAATTGTCTCTAAACTCTCATATGTTCAAATACATTTAAAGCAAGTTCTTTTATCATTTTAAAATCTCTTTGTGTTTCACACAGACACTCACTACACTGGGCCTTTTCGACAATCAAATCGGTGACCAAGGAACAGAAAATCTTGCCAATGCTCTACATGAAAAAAAGTAACATTATCCTCTGACTTGGTAATCCTATCGCTTACTCATTATTTCACATAAACACTCACCACCCTACACCTTGTAGGTAAACGAATCAGTGTTGATGGAATACAACGTATCAAAGATATACTGAAAAATAATTCAGAACTAAATCTATTTCTATGGTAGTTACAAATGATCGGTATTTGATATTGATTAAATATGTATTCGATTCTTTGATATTAGTAATAATTCTGATCTACTTTCATAATGAGAAACATATTTTAAAATGTTATTTTAATTAATGAGGCTCTCTCGATTAAAAAACATCTTCATCCGTCAAGAACTTTCGTCGTTTGAGAAAATGTTATTCGTTAACTTGAAGAGTAAGCTATGTTGTTTCTGGAATCTAATTTATGTGAAGACAGTCTTCAGTATATATATATTTACTACTTATGAATTTTGCCTAATTTCCATAATTTGAACAGTTATTTTGAAATGATTTTTTCTTAAAACTCGTAAATTTAATATTGTAGCATTGGATCGTAATTATATGATAATATATTGTAAATTCATTTATTTCAACTTATGATAAAGCCTAATGTTCATGTCATATTGTCATTTGTATGAGTTTCATTGTTGGTGTTGTATATATGTAGATTGCTTTCTCTCTAGATGTAAAATGATAGTCATTAGAATGACAAAGACTTCATTGAACTACTTAAACTGGAAAACTGTAGAGAAGAAAAAAGTGTCTTAACCATTTTTGATTTCAAATACTAAATGATATAGCGTGGTGTATGACTATAAGAGTCACATATCACAAATAAGAAGGAAAATTTACTTATAGTAACTGAAATAGTTTATCTTCTACAAAATAAAGAAGAAATGCTTGCTTTGAACAAAAGAAGTCACCATTGAAGATCATTTAGTTCAGAAGTAGTATTCAGTTATTTTCAACAAAACATATTTCTACTTTGACAAAGAGAAATTTAAAAGACTTTAGTAGATATTGATCTTTTTGTATATCATCGGATGAATGGAACTGAATTAATATATGTATACTGAACCATTTCTTTTGTGTTTATAATATAGTATCATTTTCCGTAAACTGGTAGAAGTTCACAATCAATTAGTCTATACATATATCGACTCTTGTCTCGTAATCGCGTTATTCTTAACTCTTTGTATAATGATATTGATACAGGGTGTGGGTGTGGGTGTGGAGTTTAGTCTTCATCTTACCCACATCCACACCCTCACCCTCACACCCACACCCACACCCACACTCACACCCATACACACCCACACTCACCCACACCCACGCTCCACACCCACATCCATCGATGTTGTGCTGGAGAAACTTCATCAAGTCTTACAGAATGACCTGAGCACTTGCACATTGACCATCAATGATACAAATCTCTTGGAACAAATCGTTCAAACGAGCGTTTATTCGAATATCCCTGAACTAAGAAATTTGACTAAGATCCTGGATGTTTGCCGTTACATAGAAACAAACATAAATTCTCTTATTAATTTTCCGACAACCTATACTCTTCGAACTATCAAATGGTTTTATCCGCAATATAATGGAAAAACGGCAGAAGTTACTCTTGTCCCTAAAGAACTCCATGAAATTATCGAAGACAACATATTTTCATTAATTACTGGTATCAAACAATTCGAAAAATCAGTGAAAAACGGTATAACTCCATTCCTATGTCAAAACTTCCGACAAAGACTTAATTATATAAATACGCAATTGTTAGATGCAAACACGAAATTTATAAATGAAATCGAACGACTTTCCATTATAGTCATCACTATTCGTCGTGGTCAAGCTAACAACCTAGTGATCCAAAATATATTTTATGACCAAGAACGAAAGGCAATCAATACAATTATTAATGATTTACAGCAACATATAAACTATCTCATGTATAAACAAAATATAATCACTTATTTACAGCAACACAGATTTCAGTATTTGAATGTCGCCAATTTAAACGTCAATCGAACAGATAATGAAAAAACTATTGAAGATAAACTTATTCAATGTTATCAACATCTTCAAATTCTTTGCTCAAGCGATACTTTAACTAAAAATAATTTTCAAGAATTTAAAAAACGAATCAATTATTTAAAAGAAGAACTCAGCAAAAATTCTAATTTGCATCTTATCTATGCTGGTTTTACTGATTCTTCTTTTCCATTATCTACTATCCTTGTTTTACCATCATTAAAACAGACTCATAACGACATAACTGATTATCCTTCATCTCGATTTACTGCAGCGGCGACAATATCTCTTGAACATCAGAAATCCATTCTACAATCTGTAAATACTACTGATCCCAGTATATTCTCAACATTACAGTCAACGCCATCTGTTAACACTATCAATATTCTTCTTCTCGGTGAAACAGGTGTTGGTAAATCAACTTTCATTAATGCTTTTGTTAACTATCTTAAATTTGGATCACTAGAAAAAGCTCGTACAGGAAAACCTATTGTAATTATATCTGTTTCGTTTATTGCAACAGTTGGTGATCATTTTGAAGAACGTATTGTTAAATTTGATGATATTAATAATTCAAATAATGAAGATTTTGATCATCCTGGTGAATCCGTTACACAACGGTGTAAATCGTATTTGTTTCACTTGGATAAGACCAGTACAAACATACTACGTATTATTGATACTCCTGGTTTTGGTGATACGAGAGGTCTTGAACAAGATGATTTCAATATGCAACATATTTTAGAATATATTAGTAATCTTACTCATTTAAATGCAATATGTTTTCTTCTCAAACCAAATACATCAAGATTGAACATCTTCTTTCACACATGTATTACTCAATTATTTTCTCTTTTAGATCGAAATGCTCTTAATAATATTATCTTTTGTTTTACTAATTCTCGATCAACATTTTATACTCCTGGCGATACCGCTCCAGTACTAAAGCAGACGCTTATTTCTCTCTCAATTGGTGATGTTCCATTCAAAAAAGACAATACATTTTGTTTTGATAGCGAATCATTTCGTTATTTGGTTGCTCTGCAAAATGGAATTCCTTTCAATGATGATGAAAAACATGAATATGAAATAAGTTGGTCGACGTCAGTAAATGAGTCGAATCGTCTTATTGGTTATATTTGTAGAAATGTTACTATTTATCGTATAGACAATAAGTTACAATCAATGAAACGTGCCCAATTTGAAATCAGTGATATGGTTCGTCCTATATTAGAAACATTACGAAATATTCTTCGAAACTATATTTTATACAAGATGAATTTATTGAGAACATCGATCTTATTGTGCCCTAGAGTAAATGATCAATTTTTCACGCGTTGTCTCGTTTGCAAACCGAGTATTCATTCACTGGGAGATTTTTATATCGCACATTATCTTCCACATAAAGTTGAAAAAAAATGTTGCAATTGCACCTGTCTTCTCGATCAACACATTCCAATGTATTATGTACCTGAATATAAAATTTTGAACGACGTTTCACAATACACTGAAAAAGAAATGATTAATCGATTATATGAATTGTGTTATGCAAGTGCTGAATTTGCTTATTTTCTCTTGTATGATGCACGCTCTACAAAAGATAATCCTTTTTTCATTGGTTTTATCGAAATGATAGCCATAGAAACTGAGATCTGTAAGAATCAAACGTCGAGTACTTTGAACTCAAGCTTGGCCACTGCTTTGAGGGATATTGCCGATAAACACGAAAATCGACTTAATGACATTGTTCGTTGGGCAAAGTCTAGTAACTTATCGGATATCTATAATTTAATCAATACTATTAGTAATTATGATATGGTATGTGAACAATTAGCTGCTGTCAAAGAAGGACGAAAGATAATGATGAAACAATATGAGTATGAATTTATAAGAATATAACGAATGAACTGTTTCATTTATAAAAAAAAACTCATCAAAACTCTACCTATCAACCAAGTGTTTGTTAAATCGCTTTTTTTTTAACTTTTTGCATTTTGTGCAG